TTACACGAAATAGGGTGAATACATCTCATTAAACTGATTTACTGGTAGTCTCGAAACCCTACTTTAATACAAATCACTTTATACAACATGTGTTATATATTCAACATTAAGAGATGGGCCGGTGAGCTTTTTTGACTCGTTAGCTTGAATATTGTTGTGAGAATGATGATGTCCGACATAGTACAGACGAAAGCTTAGCTCATTTTGATCGCAATCGAGGGAGATTAGCTTGAAAATAGCGTCAATAAGACTGTTCCAGTAAAGCCAATTGACACCTGATAAAGAAGAATTCACCGTAGACTTCTGTTGGTAGTGACCAGACACTCTCACCCGAAATGGAAGTAAACTAGATAAATTTCCCCCCTGTTTGCCTCCTGCTACCAGCTAGCAGATCAGACAACACTGCATGCGAGCAAGCAAAAGTCGTATCGGAATTCAGTTTTTTTTTCAATATAAAAAAATATCTTGAAATTTGTTAAGTGGGGAGAGGAGAGTTGACAAAAATAGACAAAAAGTCCCCATAATATGAATCTCCATGGAGCCCAGACCCTTTACGCCCAAACGAAAGAACAGGCTTTGTATCTATTCCACAAGGTGGTGTGGATTTTCTTGATGAAATATCGTTGAAGGTTGAAAGTTTCGGCGTCAACTCGATTATATCGATGAAAGAGAAAGTGGTTTTGTTGAGTGAGACAGCGGTTGTTTCAATTGTCAAGTCGGCAGGGGTGGGCGGAATCGAAGGAATTATTGGCAAGAATGGCTTAGAGCTTTTTGGGTGAACAGGAAGACAGGAGCCTGTTGAAAGAGAAAATCATATTCAAAGCGTTAGATTTGGCAACTGAGAATTGTTGGGTATTCGCTTGATAAAATGCCTAGTCTACAAGTCCTCGTGGTTCCTTCTAAAAACGGAAAGGTGAGCGCAGAAACGTCCCAATGGTGGGCAAATTTGGGCGCTGGTCGCATCACGTCTGCGCACAATGACAATACAGAGCTGGTATGTTGGTCGTCGGGTCGTGCTGGCCTCAAGACCATCCCGACTCCGTGAACGCATCACCTACGTTGTGTGGACTTGTTCTAAAATGGCGGCGCCATACACAATGTCGAGATGAAACGGTCGGGAAAGACGACTACCCAACCGAGACAGCCGGTTGAGGTGATGCAACGTCGGAGGGAGCAGTGGCGACAGTCAAGAACGACCAAAAAACCCGCTCGTCAACCCGCCTGAGCCACTGCTGCTGCCGGTCAGGTGACTGAGACCGCCGCCGAGGCTGTGCAGCAAGTTCTTGCGATGCCCGGAGCCGGAGAGGCTGATACCGCCGCCGGAGGTGTCGCGACGAACGGCCTGAGTCGTCTCCTCGACCTGGGATTGACAGCAAGTTGGTGGGAAGATGTGAAAGCCCAGGAGGGCGGCGAGCGATAGGAGGCAACGAGCAAAAAGTAAAGTAAGAATGTATATGAACTGTGAGGAAAGACATAGTCTTGCTTTCACATCGGGTCTTCTCATCCAGGCTGAAGTGGGCTACAGTTTACAGCTCGCATAGGCCCTTTCAACAACCCAAGCCGGAGTCGAACCATGACACTGCAGCCTGTCAGCCACTGCGCCACATTGCCACGAGTGGGTCACAGGGCAGATGTGAATTGCAAGCAATGTCAGGCATTTTTCATATCACATTCTGTATTGCGATTGTCGATGAAACAATCGGCGAAAGTACTTTTTTCGAAAATCACACATATCCGATTTGATATTAGGCTCGAAAGCCATATAACATGGAATAATAAACGTGCCTATGATGACCACATGTGCACTGATTGTAGCTGTTTCTTGGGAATATTTCCAGAATAAAAAGACGACCATTGGGATTTTACACGATGGGTGTATTCACCCCATTTACTTCGAGGTAATTAAGGAAAAGGTACCTATGAAATGTAAAATATGTAAAGAAATGTCTACGTAAAAATAACCTGCATTTTGCCAGTTTTCCAACTAACAGCATTTATAGATACGAAGAGAAACTTGGTTTCGATGAATCTCCTGAGATAACATTATTAGGGGGACCTTCATTTCGAG